TGGTGTTTTTGTCAAGGAGCACACATATTCTACTTTTTTTTAATATACTCAATTTGAAAAGCTTGCTGCACCAATTGATAGAAAGTAATGACGTCCAAAGCAATGAACTAAACTATGTATATTGGTCTGATCATTTAACTCACGTTCAGATAACGTTGCCCTATTGGTCATAGTGCCTACTGAATTTCATCGTGCATGGAACAAGCAAAGCTTTGACTAGAAAGCTGGTAACTGTTGCGATCTGGTTGGATGTCAAAAGATAATCTAGCACGGGACCTCACAAGTAGAAGGCAGTCACGCTTGACCCCGGGAAGCTGGTTTTCATTTTTTCTATCCGTATTACAGCACGATCCATCTTAGGACTATTCTCCGGGATCGGGACTCAATAAGAAACATTCCACTGTATTAATGTGATCACGATGATTACTAGTAGTGGTAGTAGCAATATTACTATTATTATTATTATTATTACCGATCCGAAGTTGGTTCTTTGAGCGGTGATGACAGTTACTGCTTTAGTAACCTGGCAAGATTTTTTTAATTAAAGAGTAAGTACACGGCGGGTGATTAGTACATCGTGTTTTACTTTGGAAATATAGACTGAGGCTTCGATCTCTTGTTTATTTTGCATTTCACCAAGGAGTAGACTATAGATATGAAAAAATATGGCCAAGGACAATCTGTAGAGACATATCGAATCTCGTTACATGAGTCATTCCTTACACGTTCTTTTACTTATGTTCATTGATGTGTTGGTTATTTATTCAGAATTATCCCTTAATCTTATACGCACAGCTAAACAAACGATATATGTATTGAGCATTGGGTGATTGAACGAGAAACACTATGCTTGAGCGAATTATAGTTATCTGGTGAAGATACAAAGATTACTGGCAACAAAGTTGGGATACTCCACATATATGTGCATCTACTGGGCACGGATATAACATCGTTCATCTTCGCTATTCTGTTTTCGTAGAAGATAGATAAATAAGATGCAATCCATTGTATCTGACTATCACAGCCGGTTATGGTGTCTGATTTCCTAC